ATGATGCTAGCTCAATATTTTAATTTTGGTAATGAAAGTGATCTATTGCTGTTTAACTAGTAATTCCAAGAATATCAACACAGAAGACAGGGTAAAAAATGTTGGTTACAGCATTGTTTATGTAGCCAGATTTCAAGCAGAAACTAGCTGTATGTAGTTCACAAACCATTGGCATTTCATCATCTTTTATTTATGGAATTAATTAAAATGTGAGATACTAATATACCACGCACAGAAGAAATCATATAAAATATTCTCCTTCGTATCATCAAACCCATCAACCATACAGTAGTAGATGGCTTGGAGGAACACCTCATATTCCAGTGATGAGCCCCTCATCCCTTACGGATGGTTCATGTGCCTCAGCAATTGTTTTTCAAAGAACACCCATTTGTTTCAGTGGCACATCAGGACAAGCTAAGTAGAGCTGCAAATAAGTGGTGGAGAGAGAATTCACCACCTGCATTTTGGCTGTTACATTTTAGATGTAGTATTTATTTTTATAAGCCCCTGGGGGAACAACTCTCCCAGATGCACAGTATCTGCATAATCATCCAATTTTAGAGAGATTAAATATTCATATCAGGCTTCTTGAGTTGTGGTAATGTCCCTCTGGGGTTCTGAGGATCCAGGAAGAGTTTTGCCACTGCATAATGACTAGTGTCTGTTGTTCAGACTGTCAGAGTTAGTCTGTCCCCCATCACAACCAGTTTAAAGATTTTGTGAACTCTTGAGAATCGTGTTTTTTTCCCCCATATGAAGAGACAAGATATTATGAATTCAGTAACACAAGATAGTTTGAAGATGACCAGACCTGTGCAAAGGCTTTTGGTACACCTGTACACTGAGATTTATTATCTGTTGGTTCAATTTAGACCCATCTAGTAACATAACTATCTCAGATGAGGCTGAGGTGAATAACAGGTCAAGTTCATGGATATAATTAAATTAAGAAGAAACATTTATTGAAGGAGTGGAATGAATTTGCTAAGATGCACTCATTAACATCTTTTCAAAGTTCCTTCTAGTATTTTTTTTATTATTATTATTTGTATGTTGTTGTTATAACATTAGAATATTGAATGTAGTTTTATTTTTAGCAGTTAAATTGGGGATGAATGTTTTATCTTGCTGGATTTGATTTGCTCTGTTCACCTTCTGCAAAGCAGAAAACTTTAAAAAGTTTCTCACCCACAATCTTCAGGTTAACAATTTGACATCACATTTTTATTAGGAATAACATTACCCTAAATGTCCTTAATTATACTGTCTTGTTCATAGGTAAAGAAGCAAAAGTCCATCCATTGTCAAGCATCTTGTGAAATGGGTCACTGCAGAGCTGTAATGTTAGCAGCAGGGCATTAGTGCCATAATACGGTGTCATGGAACTGTAGGAAATAATCCCGAAAGGGACATCTGACATTATGCAGATGCTGTCCAAAAATTTTTTAAAACTTCAAGGACAGAAAGTTTATAACCTCTCCTGATAATACTTTGCAATGGTTGACTCCATATTGTCAGAAATTTTAGATTTGTTTTCTTTTGCTAACAGACAATTATTATTTTTTTTTTTCCCTGTTCATGGTGTATCTAATAAAGGTATATAAATACCTGAAACGAGCATGCAAATAGGATAGAGCCAGTGGTACCCAGTGGACAGAAAAATCATAGAATATCCTGAGTTGGAAGGGATCCACAAAACTTATCAATTCCGACTCCTGGCTCCACACAGGACCACCCCAAAATCAAACCATGTGGCTGAGAGTGTTTGTGCAAACATTTCTTGAACTCTAGCAGCCTCAGTGCTGTGACCACTGCCCTGGGGAGCCTGTCCCAGTACCCAACCACCTTCTGGGTACAGAACCATTCCCTAACACCCATTCTGATCCCCCCCTGTCCCAGCTTCATGCCATTCCCTCTGGTCCTGTCGCTGTCCCCAGAGAGCAGAGCTCAGTGCCTGCCCCTCCACTCCCCTCACGAGGAAGCTGCAGGCTGCCATGAGGCCTTCCCTCAGTCTCCAAGCAATTTCAGCTTCTCCTCATGCGTCTTGTCTTCTAGACTCTTCCCTATCTTTGTAGCCCTCTTTTGGACACTCTTTAATAATTTTACATCCTTCTTATATTGTGGCACCTAAAACTTCACACAGTACTTGAGGTTAGTTTGCACCAGTGCAGAGTAGAGCGGGACAATCACTTCTATTAAAAGGGGTAATTGTCACAAACTGGAACATAAGGATTTAAATGGGAAAGCTATGCAATACTAGAATCTTCTCTCAGGAAATGTCTACACAGTTAAAATTTCTCTATATTACAAAGTCTGGTCTTTTGGATCATTTCTGTAGTTTTGGTAAACCTTATCCTCAGAATATTTCTGGCTTGATGCTCCAGCCATGACAGCATCTTTATCCTTGTCACTGGGGAAACCACCAATTAAAGTGCTCCTCACAAAGTAGATGGTTTGCTATCATGGTACACAAAGTTCTGGTCTCCAAGGTTCTTCAAAGCCCTATGTCCCATGTAGAAATTGTGTAGGGCTACAGATATTTCTTAGGCATACAGTCTCTTCCTACAACTTTCCCAAATATTTTATGTGTTCTATCAGCATACAGACTCGGAATCTGGCAGAGAAGCTGGTTATTGGTAGGATACAAAGCTGGAACTGCAGCTGATTCAGAATGCCACAGACAGTGGCAGACAGTACCATCAACTGTCCAGTACTTGACAACTTCACATAGATAACATGAGAATAATTTGCGCTTTTTTTTTTTTTTAATGTAAATTTTCCTAAACATAAATTCAAATAACATGGCATTCTTTATAACAAAAATTCTTCACAAGTATAAAATTTGTTTTCAATTTTATACTCAGAGTAATAACTGTAAATAGAACATTAATGTGTTTTCCAACTTTCATGTATTTTTTGATTCTTTTTTATCAGATTGAAGGAAAACTATAAACTTTGTTTTCCCTTGGTTCATCTTATTTGATGCAAGAGAACAGCAAGGGCAGACTGCTCTGCAAAGGATGTCAAGCCAAGAGCTCAGGCTGACAGCAAATCTGATAGGACAGTGACATTGACAATAAGAGTGTAGTCCTACAGTATCTGAACAAGGAGAGTATGTCTGATGATAGTATCCATGTAAGACACAATCCAGGGATGGCCAGGCACAGTGATGAGACAGGACCAAAGTCAAGCCAGGAAGCCAACGCAGCAGGTCAGGGGCAGCGTGCAGATCAGTGAAGTACATGGCCAGACACAAGCATGGCTGCAGTATAGCTCATGCAAGGGCCAAGGATGACAGCCTGAGATTAAATGCATCTTTCTAGCACCCATGAAGGCTTCCCAGAAAGTTTAAAGTCTGGACAGCTGCTCTATCAAAGTTGGCCTTAAATTGGCCCAGATGGACTTGGGACATGTGTGTGGGGGAAGCAGTATGATCTTAAGGCCCAGACAGCAGCATTCTTTTATGTAATTGTGAAAGCAAAGCTTGCTGAAAAAATAAACCCATCTTTATTATAGTTGTCACTATGACCCATTTACTGTACTGGCTTCTCAAAATCTAAACATTTTAAAGGGCCTGCATGGTCGTTTTCTTCATTTGTTCTCACTGTGGTATTGGCAGCCACAGAAGTTTTAACAGGCATTGCCTGTTAAAAGTATGTATTGTTAAAAGTATGTATGTATATATGTTAAAAGTATTGCCTGTCCAAAGTATGGGATGTGCCTCTGCAAATTCAGATGATTAAAAGATAAATGTGTACATCAAAGCTAATTGTCTCAAGTGTCTCTATAAATAATAAAGAACTCACATTATTCAGAAAAAATTCCTTTTACCTTCAAAGTATCTAAAACAGGCAAGATGAATTCTTATCCAAAAGTGTTTTTCTCCCATTGCATGTAAAGAAAAGTAAGGTGTCTATCTCATACATAGGCATTTGCATTATAAACATTTATAGTTAGTTCAAATAAATTATATCTTATACATTACAGGATATGTTTAAAAAATATTTTTTTTTTGAATCTGTTTTTATTCTTCATGAAATGAATGCAGAAAGTGAGGGAGAGAGAGGCATCCCAGAGAGGCCAGTTTATAGGGTAACAAATCTTGGCTGTATATGGATAGGCATCACATCCAATTGATATTCAGACATTCAAGTTTTATAGGCTTCATCTAAAGAGAATACCTCCATCACTCAAATGTCTAGGTACTAAGGATATTGAGTAGTCTCAGAAGAGTGGATTTTTTACCACTAAAGAATAAGTTTACAAACCTAAAAAACAAACAAACAAACAGAAATACTACAACAAAATAGTTGGTTAATCATAAACATGGCAATGCAAAAATTTCACTTCAAATTGGTTTTGAATAGTTAACAAATTCAATAGATTGGTATTTTACAAAAATGTTAATATATTTACACATTTGGTAAAAAAGTTTTTGTATCTCTTAGGAAATGCTGCAGTGTCCCAGACTTGGATGCCTAATGCTAATCAACTCATTCATATCTTAATAAAATAAAAAAATAAAAGTAGATTTAAAACAAAACTAAACAAAACAATAATAATAACAAAATGACTATGCTCAAATAATACAAAAGCTTCTAAGCACACTTTTGAAAACCAAACCAATTCCTTAGGTTCCTGGAATGGGTGGGGGGCTTAGATAATAATTTTGGAAAAACTATGATAAAATGGCATATTAAATTTTGTGTAAACATAACCTTGATAGGGGGTAGCTTATAATATATTTTAACTGTCTTTGCATTTTGCTTTGTATTAACTTCATTGAGTGATAAAATACAGCAAGTTATGATAAAAGGGAGGAAACTGCTATTTTCTAGTTAGACTTTCACCAATTCCACATCATGAGATGCTGCTTGTCTTGACAGTTCAACACAAAAGGAGACCAGCAGATGGAAGCAATGAAAAGCAGAATCCTTTCTGTACTCATTGGCAGCTAATGTAATTTACTGACTTTCCAAATGTATAATATACATTACCACAGCTTCCACTCCTCCTGTGTCAATGTATGTTGGATGAAGTGTTCTCCATTTCAGTGCTAAGAGGAAAGAAGTAAAAAAAACTTAAGTGGACAACTGAAAATAGGACATGCTTGTTCTATTTCTACAAGACAAAATCAGATGTTTCAACTTCCATATTTTATATGTAATTAAGCGTAGTATGATTACAAACTACTAAGATAAGCTACTTTGCTCTGACTGTACAGAAGAAAAACTTTTGGAAGTAACTAGCTTAATTCAACTGCAGAGAAAGGAGTTGAGTTCCTGGATGACTAAACAGTTGAGCAGACATGGCAGGCTCTTTTAAGCTAAACAGCTCTTTTTGTTCAATCCTCATGTGTTTATTTTTAATTTTTAGTAATATAAGTCAGCAAGACAATCAGATGCAATGTATACATTATGAAACTGGGATTTTGGTGAAATAAAACAAAGAATATATAATATTTGAGTAAAATCTTTGAGCTCTGAGACTGATCATCAGCAGATATAAATCAGCCTCCTTTTGATGACCACTGTGAAACTCTAGATTTTAATAGTAAATGAAATAACAAATAGGAAAAAGGGAAGAAAAGTTTACACTGATTTTTTTTTTTAAGCCAGCATGCTAGTGTAACAGAAGTCAGACTATTTAAATATGGTAGTCTGTTTCTAGTTTAAGTGTAATTAAAATTTTCACTGTGAGTATTCAGTTATGGCATCTATATTTTACTGCTAGCAAGTAAAACTGTTCAGGAAGAGTTTAAAAAATGTTTGAAATTTATGTGAAATTCATTACCACATTGCCACCAGTTGGGATGTAGCCATGTATGCTTTCAGTCTCACACCAAAGAATGTTACACTGCTCTGACTTTTATGTGGGAAGCTGAATTTATAATAATTTGGAACATATCAGGAATTGGAAGGTATTCCAGCTACAGTGGCAGTGAGATGAGACTTGCTGCACCCATTGCATTTAGAGTGAAATGGGAGAAACTGAGTGATGACTTTGTTATGCTTTGGAATTTTTCTTTGTAACGTGCTCTGGTGTACCTCATGTCCACAAAAACCTTGTGATCACTCTCCCTAACCACTATCCTGTCTTCCTTCACCCCAAGCTAAAACAAGCTGTATATTCATCTCTGTTTATTTTTAGAATGACTGTGAGTCCTGGCTATTCTGGTTTTGTTTTCTTTTTACTTTCACACTCCAATAAACCTAACCCACTTCCAATGTTCTAAGACAATTCAACCTGTCCATACAAGGACTTAGCATATTTTAGTATAATGTGTTCCATTTGTACTTTTTTTTTTTTCCAAGACAACCTTATGTTGTCAAATATTGACAACAGTAAACTATCTTTGTCTTCATCTGTACCAAACTGCACAAACATAGCAGAACCCAGAAGAACACAAAAACCTTGAAAACAAACAAACAAACCAAAAAAAAAAAAAAAGTCTTATTTCTGAAAATAGTTGTTAATACCCAATATGATTTATTTATTTATTTGTTTATTTATTTACAGAATTAAAGTGCGGATAATTTTTCAAATAGTATTATCAAGAGTAAGACATTTAAAAATTCTTTTGAAGAGGTTTATATCCTGACAATTCCCTTGAGGTGGGTTTGGTTTTAGAATTTGGGGGCTTTTCTAGGTTGTTGTTGTTCATTTTTTGTTGTTGATGTTTATAACAAGGTAGCTATAACTTTTAAGGAAGAAATGAAAAGGAGAGGAGAGAATTGTCAATATGGAAAACACTCTGCACTTCATAGAGGGAAGAATCAAAAACTCATTTTACTAACTCCTATTTCTCTCTCAGTACCACTTCTATATGATTTTAGTTTATGATCTTTCTAGATGTCTCTCATGTATTTCCTTTCTATCTCAGTCCTATTTTCATCACTGTCCTTGCCCTGTCAGCCCACAGCTGCTAACCTGTTAACCAGCTGCTTCTTCAGCACCACCCAGTTTGGGGAACAAGAAAATGAACTATCTCTATATATTTCAATTTCTTTCTCTCTTTCTGTCTGCTCCAAAAGAGTTCTCTAGGGAATCTTTGTAATGTCAAGTAATACACAAAAAAAAAAAAAAAAAAAAAATACTTTTCTAAACAAATGAATCAAATCTTTGAGAGTCTGGAGTTGCTGGAGTTGCAAGGAGTTTAAAACAATGATATTTCCCCATAATTTTTAATGACAAGGAATTTAAGAAAACTTTAAAAAATGATTTTCTGATTTGGAACAATATTCTCATAGAAAAATGCTTTGTAATGATTAGCAGTGAGGCAACATACAGCATTTATGGTGAATTTATTTAATTCTGGGGCAACAGACATGACTGACTGAAAAGTTTCTAACAAGTAGTTTCTAACACTTTCCCAGATATTCTCTATTACAGCATCATGGAGGGATGTTTTGACATTTAAAAATACATGTCAGAGATACCTAAAAAACAAAGTAGAATAAAATAAACACATAGCAAAACATCATAAGCACTGACAAAAACAAGGTGTCATGACCACATAGCATTTCCTGGAGCTGGCTGTTGGGAGAATTGTGACTGACTTTATAAGCCCTGAGTGAGTCTCTAACAAAACGATGCTAGTGTTTTATTTTAATTGTGGATATGAATGTGTTTCATTTATTTTTTTCAGTGGCTCCAGGCTCATATTGGTCTCCAGGGCCATAAGATATGTACTATGGCTTATACTACACCTTGTCTTTTGTTGCTTTTGGATTAATCAGAAGGTTGCTCATACAGTGTATTATGCAAAAAGGGATGGTGTTCCTACTGTTATATCACCAAAAACTGTTTTGAGTGGTGTTTAGAACACTTTGTGTTTTGTACTACTCTACTACTATGACTCCTCAAGCAGATAAAACTTAAACTCCAAACCAACTATCAACAGGAGCTGTATGAAATGTGTGTTCTCCATCATCTCAGATAATGTGCTGCTTTACCTCTTGGCATCAAGAAAGTGCAACCTGCAAATCCAGCCCATTTACTTTAGATACCTAAGTCAGATACAGTAATACTTGAAAGATAGTTTCTTCACTTTGGTATGGTTGTTCAAATTGTCTAAATTTTATGACAAGGTGTTCTCCCCCCCCCCTCAAAAAAATAAAACAAACAAACAAACAAACAAAAAAAACATTTTATAGTAGTAGTTGTAAAGGTAATTTGGTCTATTCCTGAAGTGGTTATTAAAAATCAGCTCCATGGAACTGTATTGTTGCTCTTCTCTTGGGACCATGCAAATTCTGCATTAAAAAGGCTTTCCTCCAGAACTGCTTGTTACTGATTTTATAGTATGTCCCTAACATGGATTTCACAATATGGTACTCTGGGATACATTTCTGGTTATTAGTCTTTGGAGTGTTTATACATTTTCCTTGAAGTGAAAACAGAAGTGAAACAAAAGCCTACCTTGTGCTAGCTGAAGCCCGAACTCCTGGGCTCCAGTTCTGTGATCTTTGTCACTTGCAGGTTTCTGCCTCAGTTTCTAGGGCATGCTGTAGGGAGATGATAGTGAGGTGGTGCACAGGTGACTAAGAAATGCCAAAGAGCAGCATACAATGTCAATCTTGTTTCCTCCAGGTTGGGAAAACATGATCAAGCTGCAGTCACTGGCATGCTAGCTCATGCTAGCTAAACTCCATCTGCCTATTCTAGTCTCTAGCTATCCTTACTTCACAGCAAGGGTACATTTCATTTAAAACAAGAAACTAAGAGTAACCATTTCCCTCCATCAATTATAAATGGCATTCTCTACCCTGAATTAATTGAACTTAAAGGATAACACAGATGACTTGGGGAAAGTTATTTTTAAAAAAGTTTCAGAAGCACTTAATTGGACCTTCATAAAAAAGGAGGACTATTGTTCCTGCTGATCTAAAACAATGAGGACAATAGTGCTTAATGTGCAGAATGAAGAAAAAATTATTGGATATATTAAGAAAATCTGGGGGTTTGGTTTTGCTGCTGTTGAAGGGTCCTCTCTAAAGTCATAAAGGTCAAGAAAGTCATGCATCAGAGCAACAGATTCATGAACAAGCTCGTAAATCTTTGTAGTCTGCTCTATAGTGATTCAGTTTCTGTGTGTCTGCTTGTGTATATTATCATCTTAATTGTTGTACATGAGACTATATAATATATTCAGTAAGTCATGGTGCAGGATAATGAAACTAAGTGTAGTAAACCCTTTCATTGCAAAAGCATAAGCCTCTTCATTATATTGTCATATGAATAGATTTGTTCTATTATAATTGTTTTTATATTTACCAAAAAAAAAAAAAAACCACCTTGAATATAATAAGCTTCAGTAGACTCATTAGATTGTACTTTACGGTACCTGTGTGTGTGATTTTATTTCTGTTCACAGCTGGCAGATTGTGTAGAGCATATAGTTCTGCTGTTAAGAGCTAAGGAATTTTAAAGAGGTAAGTACCACAGTGTGGTTTGCCCTTTGTTGCCTTTACATTACGTCTGCAACATTGGCCTGCCTTCTCTCTCTCTCTCTCTCTCTCTCTCTCTCTCTTTCTTTCTTCCCTTCCTTTCTTTCTTCTGTTCTTTCTTCCTTCCTTTCTTCCTTTCTTCCTTTTAACTTTAGTTAACTTAACTTTTAATGTAACGTAATGTAACGTAACGTACAACGTTTTTTCTGTTATCTTGAACTTTTTTTTTGTAACCTTTATTTTTTCTTTAGCTTCTTTAGCACTTTAGGTCCACCGTACTATTTCCAATGGGTCAGCATTAAACTCCATAATATTGCATTGTGTGTGCTTGAACACACTGAGCTTCTGTCTGTATTTGACTTCATTAACTTCACTGAGTTATGAGCACATATAGAATTAACCATGCTCCTCTGAATATACCTATGAACATGAAATCAAGTCACAAGAAGGTAGAAAGTATTATGAATTTTCAGGTTGTTTTTTGGTTACTCAGTAGTGACTGACCATTAAGTGTATTCTCATTATGCAGTTAACTTGTAGTCTCTGTCTGCAACCATTAATAAGAAGCAACTGATACACTGGTAATTTGTACTCCAGAATAGCACAAATTAATGTGTGCTATTATATCAAAAGCATCTTTCACAAAGAGCTGGTTTTAGTTATTCTTATTTTTAAATAAAATAGAAAGGATATATGTTGCAAGATATGGTCTTCTGTGAGAAAGAGATGATTGGCAGACAATTAGAATATTCTGCTTTTCCACAAATTAATAAAATAAAATAAAAACAATAAAATAAAATAAAATAAAATAAAATAAATAAAAATGCAATAGTAAATATAAAACTTCTGAAGTTTGTGAGTTAATCATTGCAGAATGTGTAACATTGTAAGTGTGTAATTATAATAATTCTAGTATTTCCTGGGAATTAATTCTATGATAATTCTATGAATGATCATATTTATAATCAAAATTATGATCTATTATTATTACAGCTAAACATGTTACACAGTAAAATCTTTTGCAGTTATTAACAAAAGTAAATACATATACATGATCTCATACTTTGAAAAGCAGGGATAATAAAAGGCAAATTTCACATGTTTAACCCGAAGGGTTTTTCATTTGTCTTGATTAGATTATTATCACCAAATATTACCTTCTGACAGCTATAGCTCTGCCTACTGTTGGTCTTAATGAAGATCAGAATGAAGAAAAACAACGTGCCTCTAGTACTGCTTCCAAAATTCTTAGTACTGCTTCCAAAATTCTTAAAGAATTTTACCTCATGATAAAGTGTCTAAGACTGGGGTATTCAGGGCTATATTTTTAATGGTAGGAGTTTAATTTCTATATCCTAATGAATGATTGGCATTACAGGATACCTATTTTAGATGCTCAATCATTCAGAGAAAATCATGTCTCCAGAAAATAGTCTGAAAGACTTTACCTAATCATCCTCCATCAGCAATGCAGAGGGCCTAAGTGCCTGTGTGGGGTGAGAGCTACAGTGGATGAGCACATGCACTTTAGGTGCCTTGGAAATGTTGAAGTTTAAAATGGAAATACCACCTTGACTCAGATGCCTTACACTTCTGAGGATCATGGCAATGGCTAGTAGGAATGAGTGAAAGATCCTTATCCATGTAAGGATTCATTGTGATAGATAAATGTGCCCCTGATGTAATGCTAAATGATCTGATACACAAAGCTTAAACGCAAAAATAACAGATACAACTGGCCACCTTCCCTGGAGAACAGGCAGAAAACCCCACAATACAGTCTACACACTCTTGAAGATTTCCAAATGACTGTGGTAATCTGTAGGAAAATCCTTTGTCTCCAGCAGGTACTGGAAATCCCATCAAGTCCCAGAAAAAAAAAATGTTACTATCAACCCTTATAAGGGGGATACTGAAGGAAAGAATGACGTGTAGGAAAATAGTTGTCTGTATTCTGATGAGGTTAGGTTAGAACATGAACGTACAGTACATCTTCCCCATTTCATTTTTCTTTTAACTAGCCATAACTACATAACCATTCCTACACCCAGAAGGAACTCTCAAACAGAACCTACTACTGCAGTCCATGCTATGAACTTGAAAGATTTCCAGTGCTTGAAAAGACACAAAAGAAATTAATTGAGTGCAGTTTATTTGTTTTCTTAATATTTTCTTAATGATTATCTAAATAATTAGCTAAAATTGGTAAAACATTCCTAATGTTGTCTGCTCTCCAGCTCTTTGCCTCCCTTGGCTAAAAATTCTGAAGACCCTGACAAAAACTTAGTACTTTCCCAGGATATTTTTTTTCCCCAAAAATCCCAAATGTCAGTATTTTCAGATAACACAATACATAACAACAAAAAAGAGAAAACAAGACAGAACAATTTTCATATGACATCAAAGTCTCTTACTCTCCCAAACTACAAAGTCACCCTCCAGACAAAAATATCCCAAATAACAGCATCATCAACAACCAATACATTCTATAAAGAACTCTGAATACAGTACATATTATTCTCTCTGTTGATTAATTGAAATGGCATTTTGATTACATTTAATTATACACATTAAATAAGTTAATGTTGTGCAATGGTAACACCAATGCATATAGAGGGCTTTTTAAGGTAATGTCAACAATTATATCCTAAATCACATAAAGTTCTTTGTTGTTTTTTTTTTGTTTGTTTGTTTTGTTTTTTTTTGTTTGTTTGTTTTTTGTTTGTTTGTTTGTTTGTTTGTTTTTTTAATTCACTAAATATGATTTCCCCTCATATATTTTGAAAATCTTGAGGTTATAGAAGCATCCTTGCAAAATTACTTGGGAGACTTTTGATTGAATTACAGGAAAGACATCTCAGAGCTCAAACTGTAGACTCTGACTTTGCCATAAAACAACCTTTCTCCTCAAAGAGAGATTAATCCTATAGCTGATGTTTTTCTACTCTGAGGGGTTTTATATACAGGAATGAGGTAAGGAGGAGGTTGCAGTAATAAAAATAATTGTACTGAAGAGTGTCTGTCAGGTTTATTTTGAAACTTTCAGGATTATACATGTTTGAAATCAGATCAGTTATTTACCTGGGAAAGTAGAAAAGAGATTAAATGTAAAGGGCGTATTTTACAATGAGTAATGGATTTTTAAATTTTATTGCCTATTTTTATTATTACCTAATTTGATGAACCAGCATATGCACACAGGGTTAAATTTAAAAATTGCAAACAGAACCAGCTTTGAAGATCATATTTTGCTTCAGCTTTGTCAGATTAGTGTTTTATTCTGAAGACTGTTGCAAATATTCTAGTTTCTACTGTAGCACTAATCAACGTAAAAATAAATTTCTCACCTACAAGACAAAAGAACTTTGTAAATATACATTTATCTCAATGAAATGAGAAGTTCAATGTTGTGAGAGAGGGATTATATAAGCATATATTTATATCATAAGAAAAATATGGAAGTTTAGTGCCTCAGGTAAACTGAAATGTGTCTTTTAAGTCTTGAGGTAAATTAGTAACTAAAATAGTGTTATATTGTCTCCAGTATACAGGTAAACAGAATGGATTCAATATTACATTTAAAACTCAAGGAAGGAAAACCTCACAAACATTATGAGTGACTCAGAAATAAGTGTTAATTTGCAGTGGACAAATAAATAAATAGATAAATAGATATAACTCTTAAATCATATTCTTATTAAAGCGTATCTCAATCTATTTAACAGGATGAAAAAATACATAAAACAATACAGAACTGCAACCCCAGCAGATACATAAGAACAAGTGTAAGAATTAATATATTGTGATAGGAGAGTATCATAATAAGTAACACATGGTTATGGCCAACATTTTTTTGCTAAGTGGTTAAAAAATACTAACTGTTGAGGTTTTAATACTAACTGTTTTGGACGGCAAGGTGGGTTGAGAACTGGCTGACTGGCCAAGCTCAGAGGGTGGTGATCGGTGGAGCAGAGTCTGGCTGGAGGCCTGTGACTAGCAGTGTTCCCCAGGGGTCAGTGCTGGGTCCAGTCTTGTTCAACATCTTCATCAACAACCTTGATGAGGGAATAGTGTCTGCCCTCAGCAAGTACGCCGATGACACAGAATCACAGAATTTCTAGGTTGGAAGAGACCTCAAGATCATCAAGTCCAACCTCTAACCTAACACTAACAGTCCCCATTAAACCATATCCCTAAGCTCTACATCTAAACGTCTTTTAAAGACTTCCAGGGATGGTGACTCCACCACCTCCCTGGGCAGCCTGTTCCAATGCCTAACAACCCTTTCAGTAAAGAAGTTCTTCCTAACATCTAACCTAAAACTCCCCTGGCGCAACTTAAGCCCATTCCCCCTCGTCCTGTCACCAGGCACGTGGGAGAACAGGCCAACCCCCACCTCACTACAACCTCCTTTAAGGTATCTGTAAAGAGCAATAAGGTCACCCCTGAGCCTCCTGTTCTCCAGCATGAACAAGCCCAGCTCCCTCAGCTGCTCCTCATAGGACTTGTTCTCCAGGCCCCTCACCAGCTTCGTCGCCCTTCTCTGGACCCGCTCAAGCACCTCAATGTCCTTCTTGTAGCGAGGGGCCCAAAACTGAACACAGTACTCGAGGTGCAGCCTCACCAGAGCTGAGTACAAAAAGTATACAAAGCTGGGAGGAGTGGCTGACACGCCAGAAGGCTGTGCTTCTATTCAGTGAGACCTGGACCAGCTGGAGAGATGGGCAGGAAGAAACCAAATGAGATTTAATAAGAGCAAGTGTAGAGTCCTGCACTTGGGAAGGAACAACCAGAAGTATCAGTACAGGCTGGGGGACGACCTGCTGGAGAGGAGCTCTGAGGAGAAGGACCTGGGCGTCCTGGTGGACAACAGGTTGACCATGAGCCAGCACTGTGCCCTTGTGGCCAAGAGGGCTAATGGGATCCTGGCGTGCATTAAAAGGAGTGTGTCCAGCAAGTCAAGGGAGGTGATCCTTCCCCTCTGCTCTGCCCTGGTCAGGCCTCACCTGGAGTACTGTGTTCTCCAGTACGGGTTCTGGGCTGCCAGTACAAGAAAGACAGGGATCTCCTGCAAAGAATCCAGCGGAGGGCCACAAAGATGATATGGGGCCTGGAGCATCTTCCCTGTGAATAAAGGCTGAGAGACCTGGGTCTGTTCAGCCTGGAGAAGAGAATACTGAGAGGGGATCTCCTCAGTGTATATAAATATCTGAGGGGTGGGGGACAGAAGGATGTAGCCAACCTTCTTCTCAGTGGTTTGTGGGGATAGGACAAGGGGCAATGGCTGCAAGTTCCACACTGGAAGTTCCGCACTGACATGTGAAAGAACTTCTTCATGGTGAGGGTGACGGACAATTGGAGCAGGCTGCCCAGAGAGGTTGTGGAGTCTCCTTCTCTGGAGATATTCAAGGCCTGTCTGGATGCCTAACTGCGCAGCCTGCTCTGAGGAACCTGCTTTGGCAGGGAGGTTGGACCCGATGATCTTTTGATGTCCATTCCAACCCCTACAGTGCTGTGATTCTATGATTCTGTGATTCTGTGATTCTGTGATTCTGTGATTCTGTGATTCTGTAACTGAATATTAAAATTAAATAAATAAAGCCATGTAAATACCTTTGTCCAGTTCACTTTGCATATGTAGTCACATGATAATTTTTAAAAGACTCTTTAATGAGCAGATATGTAGCACATTTCTAAAATTAGTTCTTCAGTATTGCCTGGTGTCCCTTCCTAGACCTTAGAAAAAGGTTCTATTGTTAGATACAAATGTGTCTATACCTATATAGCTGCAGTGAGCTGTGATGCAAAACGCAGTGGAGGATGGAAGGGCATGCTGCATAGGAGGAATTCAGAAACATTGCTTGGACATACAAGCATAGTGTCAAGAAAACCAAAGCTCATCTGGACTTGAGACTTATCAGTACATGAAGGATAACAAGAAGAGTTTGCACATTAGTAGCAAAGGTTGAACAAGGAAAATGTGGAGCTGTTGCTGAATGGGAAGGCTGATTCTATGTCAGTGGACACAGATAAAGCCAAGAAACTCAGCATCCTGTTTGTATTTTCCAACTGTTAAACAGAACTCTTGTTTGTTTGCTTGCTTGCTTTGCATATGAGAACAAGAGCATATGCATATTTTCATAAGTAAAATTAGACTTTGGAATTTCTTGTAAAGACAGGAAAATTTTCCAAAGTGTTGATTCCCCAAATCAACATACCCCTTATATTATTATTATTATATTATATTATATTATATATTATAATATATATTATATATTATTATTAATTATATATTATACACTACAATTATCTTACCCAAAATTTCCTTCTGAATTTACAGTTATGACACAGGCTAAGAACAGCATGGCACAATCTAAAGGAGACTTGGGTTCTCTGTTAGTTCCTCTTCTCGGAAAGAGTAAGTTTCTAAATTCATACTCATGTTCTTCTTGATTGGCAAAAATCATTCACAACTGACACTGTCAGCCTTCAAGGAAAGATGTCGGTACAAGAGGTTATGAGAACACCCAAGGCTGATTTTGACAACATCTTGTCCCAGGAGCAGATGAGAATCCTAGTCAGAAAACCACAGGACTCATGAAAGTTGATGAGGAAGCATTTTCCCAGTGGATGGACATTAACACCTCTTTTTGAAGGTCAAAATGACATCCTAACTAGAATATACTGAGGTCTTGACCCTCCTCAAGAAACCATCAAATTACTATCCTCTGTCAAACCTCCCTTTTTGGAGAAAGTGATTAAGGATGCAGTTGCTAAGCAACTTCAAGTACACCTGGACATTTTTAGACTTCTTCCAATCTTCAAGTAATGGTTTCCAGACAAGTTTTTATAACAGTGTTAGGTTCATATTTCATAATACTGCTCTTGGGACACTAATGAAATATTGCTTTATATCAACTCTGTTAATGTCTTTCACATAGATTTAGTTATTGATGATTCAAGTCATCTTATGCTGAGCAACAGAAGGATTGTGTTATTACCAGAATTTTGTAATGAACATATAAATATAAAATCAAATGTATCTTACTTATATGCATGAGAAGCAAAATTCACCTTGAAGAACAGATAATGATTTTATTCATATTCATCTCCATGTTTCTCCCTAAATCCCAGATATCAAATATGCAAATCCCCTAGCTTCAGTCAAGAGAAAAGAAAAGCTGAAATTGTATCATCATCAGGACTTCAAATAATGAAGCCATGAATATAAAGATCTGTGATAAATGAGATTCTAATAACAACGGGGTTTCTAATAACAGCAGGAATCAGATTATGAGAACATAAAGTCGAAGTTTCATGTATGAATGGTTTGAAGAACCTTAAGTTGTCTTTATTGCTTAAAATGAGAAATGATGCAGATTGCGGCTGTTAGAAGTTTTTCTGTAGACCTGCTGAACCTCCTGCTTCCACAGATCCCAGGGCTCAGCCAGGAAACTGGGATTCAGAAATTAATTAATTACCACAAAAGTCAAACAAACTGATAAAGAAACTTTCCCTCAGAAAGCTTCTCCAAGTTGGAAAAGCTCTGATGATACAAAATAAAATATCTTTTACATAAATTAATATAGCATTGATATACTGATAGATGTGAATAAGCTGGTAATGTTTATTATGTAGTTAACTGAAGCAAAGATGTAATTTTCTGTTACAAAGGGATGGTATTTCTGGAAAAGGATTCTTTTTGGCTCCAGCAAGACAGAGGAAAGACCTGTCAACCTGATACTACCACAAGTAGCAAGTCCTCTCCCCAAACTCAGACAGCTTACTGGACTGAGTGAAACCCAGAGATGCACTATGAAAGGGTTAATAAAAGGTGGTGCCAGGCTGTAATTTCAGCTCTATTACGCTCCCGTATTGACTTTCACTGTTATCAAGTTCCTATTACGTAACCAGATTTAGGCTGCAGCTCCATGCATCTTCAGCATAAATCAATGAGTGGGAGCAGCCAACAGAGGCAGCCAGAGGAATATTTTCTGTCTCATGTACATTGTGTTCTGAGTCTGAAACTCTAGCAATGCTGGTGAACTTGTGACCGTGCAAAGTGGTGTCAGTGGGGGAGCTCAGCCTCCTTCATGGATCATGCCAAGCTCTTCACTGTTGAAGGTGATGAAGTGGAGGCACAGGAGGATGGAGCAGAGTAGAGAAGTAGAGGCAGCCAAGGCACAAAAGCACCAGGGAACAACTCTTGCTTCCACAGGTATTGCAGCTCCCACTGTGGAAGGTGAAAGTACTTGAACATCTGTTATCCCTTGAGAAGCCTGGCAAAGGGTTTTTACTGTTTTCAGCCCTCTTTATGTCAGAGTTAAATGTTGACAAAGAAACTTAAGGTGCATAAAACAAAATTTATTTATTTAGTTAGTTGGCTGAAGACAGAATATAAGGCTATTTAGACAATTTCATCAGTACCAATACTGGGACCCGTGCAATAGCTCATACTTTGATTTCTTTCTGCTTGTCCATCTGCTTCTCTTCAGAGGAACTCTCTTCAGACCACTGGACATCTGAAAATACATGGTGTTCTCTGTGAAAAATAGATAAATAAATAATAGTAACAATAATATTTTGTTTGTTTGTTTGTTTTTGCATTGTGTGCAATACCTTTATGCCTGTTTGTACACACTATCCCACTCTGGAGTATACCTTCAGTAACTGTCAGAATATCTCACATTCCACAGAAAGGCAGCATCGCTGCACATTGGCACACAAATATGGGTGTGTTTTGCATCAGACTCAGGACAGACTAGGATACATGCACATACCTAAGTCTTTTTGCAGTGGTTTACCTTAGCCTCAGCCATGGTAAGCACTCATGGGTTCCACAGTATAAATTTAAGCATAAATGTAACTTTAGAAGGAGCCTTCACTGTCTAGATGGAATGAGAGCAAGAGAGTGATACAAGCAGAAAGATATTTTCACAGACTTTATTACAGATAAAGAGACTTTCCTTGGATCTTTTAAACTCCCTCTGTTCTGAGGTGTTTTGAACTCTGCCTGGTGTTGTGCATGACTGATTTCCTAATACTTTATATCTCTTATCCACCATTATCATGAGAATATTTTTCAGTTGTCTATGAATTAATTCCCTTTTGGCAGCATGGATTCTTTCTTGGGAAAGAAGCACTACTTTGGGGATGTTGCCATTTGATGCATCTTTATCCAAACAGTTCGATCAGGTAAGCAGAATTGAACACACAATTTCTTCTAGTCTAGCATGCCTTTGAACAGCCATTAACCGCAACTTCAAAATTTTTATGTTGTCTTTATTATCATTATTAATAATATGATATTGATATTGATATTGATATGAATAATGGTAATAGTAATAACAGTAATAATAGTAAAAATGGTAATAATAATAAAATTCATTTTACAGAGAGGAGCTGTGGAATTTTCCACAAGCTACCACAAGCAATTGCCTATTCTAACTATAGCTACAACTAACCCTAATGACAGCTAATTAAAGAAAGAAAAGAGACAAGGTCACCTTCATTTCCTGAACACTAACACTATTGGTGTTCTTAGAAACAATTCCCTTTAAAGAGAATAGTTCAGCAACTATGATGAATGACCCAACCATCTTTTACCCATGGAAATCTAGGCAGGAATACACATTCAAAATCAACTGGTTACACTCCTTTCCCATTTTTCAGGTAGATACTCCAGCTGGTTGTTATTTTCTAATGCCATCATGTTTAAATAGTCTTTCCAAATGGTAAGACTATCAAGAGTTGTCAAATTCCTTGACGAAGTTTGTCTTCAATTAATTAACATTTTTCCACACAAGGTATTTTTGCAAGTAGCATTTATCTCTTGTGCCTCTCTGATGTACTGAGGTAAGCACTTCAGTCACTGTTCTTCAGTTTTCTTGAATGAAAAAGCAGCAACACAACTTTTTGATTTCTAGGACTGTCTCAGGTTATATATGGCATTTTACCATAGAAGATATAAAACTCTGTGTGTATTAAATGTGTGGCCTTATATTTGCAATGCTTGTTCTGGAAATGACATTTTCTTCTTATTTCCATCCAACATCAAGCTGAAAACAGTTCTTAAAAATTAATGGCCTATGATAAATACATACTGAAGGATCAGTGTTTAATTTTAGCTAGACTATATTATAATAAGTATGTACTTTCTCTCATATCATATTTATATATAATGACCAAGTTTAAATACCTGAAGGCCCTGAAATGAATAGTATTGCTCCTCGCAGAAAGAGTACAAACCCTTATTTTGCTAACTGAAAACTTGTGCAGAAATTTTAGGTTATTCAAGCTCTTTGTTAATTAATTAATATCTGCACTAATACACTGGGAAAGTATGTAAAGAAAACTTTGCCTGGATTTTCTGTATGTCAAAGACTGTCAGTAAGACAAACTGGTTACAGTGTTTTGTAGTTCTTGATGATAAATGGATGTACATGATGATATTGAGAGCCTATCCAGCTCAGGAACCAGTTCTGCTCCTCTTGCAGGATGAGTTCACCAGACATGTGCTGCCAGCAGTGAGATCTTGTTTCTAGCAGAAGAAATGAGATCAGATGTAAAGTCCAGTACAGTGTAATGGGAGTGAAGGTCTCAGTATCTGTCGCTCAGATATTTTTAAAGGTCTCATGGCATCAGATTCTCCTTTCTACTAAAGAGACAATTCTTGAATTGATGTGTTTAGTCCTAGATAAAATGCTGAAAATGTGAGATCATCTGAATCTGTATCAATAACCATTCCTTGCCAAGAAATCTAGAGCATCAATAATGCCTTTTTTTTTTTAAGCATCAAAATGTCTTGTAATCATACTATTTTATGTATCAGTGTACAGACATCTTACCACAGATCATAGCTGCAAAACAAAATGGTCTATTAATATACAGAGCAAAAAGGGTTTCTGCCATAAGAAGATCACATCTGAATATGACAAATAAGTGATTTAGAGACATAAATAGAGGTAAAATAAAATACTGGTCAGTTTAGAAGGTTATATTCTTACAGCATTAGCAGCTTGATCACTGTTGTAGTTGTTGTGTTTTTTTTTTGCTTGTTTGATTGGTTGGTTTGGTTTGGTTTTAGTTTTGGTAGGTAGTGCAAGTAGTGTTTTCATATATTTTCTACATTTTGTATTTATAAGAAAAACATTTTGTACAGTAAATTTTAGCAATGAAATGGTTACATTTTTATATTTCACTTTGCTTTTAGCAGGAAAAAAAATCATGGATGGTAGCAGAACTGACACAAAACTTAATAAATGTAAGTATATACATATTCAGAATATACAGTATTTTTTACAGACTGCCAGTGCAGTTTTGCCTTCCTGAACAGCTTCCAGAAGCAGTTTCATTGGATTACCACTACAGTCAGACCAGGCAAGTGACATTATCAGTCTCACAGTAATGTGAATGAGATTACACGTGATAATGTCAAGCAGCAAATGTTGAGGTACCCAATTCAATCTGGTGTAAATTGATTTTGAGAAAAATTACACTTGAATCAAAACCTATACCCATACCTTATAGCCAAAAATCTTTTTACTTCGGGTGGTTATTTCTCTTCTTTTTAGTTGTTTCAGAATACATTAAATATATAATAATAGTGTCTATGTGAAATCCAGATTTCAAACTACATGATATTGATTGCTACATCTACATTTCAGCATTCTGGCATACACAAATGCATTGACTGCATAACACTGTTATATGAATACTGATAAAATGTTGTTATACTAGAGTTTTTTGATTAATTGAAAAATTTGGGATAATGGCAGAGCTTTTGAAAAAAAAAAAAATCTCATTTTCAGAGAAATTCTGGAGCCCTAATGTTTTTGATAGCCAAAACTTTAAACTGTTGGCAAAACTGATAATTGAAATGAAAGAATATGAAGAAAAATGTTGATTAGAAGAAACAAAATCTGATTAAAATGTTTCAAGGGGAAAATTGGTTCCTGTTATCCTGATCAATGTGAGAAGATAATTTAGAGCTATTCATACAGTTCTCCTTGGCAAGAGCTTTTAGGGCATATAAAGGATAACATACACTTTCTTGGGCTTGTTCTTGGTGACTAGTAATGATGAATCAAAAGCAGGCATAAAATTTGTTTCAACCTGTGACTCAAAAAGAAAGGCTATCCATATATAACATTATATTCCTCACAGAATATGTCCAACATAGTGTTTCATGCTGTTAGTTGTTGGGAACATGGAAAATCTCTGTCCATCCATTGCCTCATCACCAGTTTTCCTCTCACCCTAAGTGAAAAGAAAAGCAGGACAAGGAGAAAAAAAAAAAAAAAAGGAATAAAATAATGATTGCTATTAGCCATGTTTTTGCCCAGTTCCCAGAACAGTGAATATTTTTTAATCCTTTTTAAGGATGAACTCATGCAGATCTAATGATGCTGATTCACAGACACACTGAGGTAATGCACTTCAGATAAGAAGGACATTGCATCATTTCAGCAGGTCTCACAATGTAAATATTAAAGGGAATTTCACCATGGCATCAGCTTTTACTGTAATCAAAGACTCCAAGGTATGATTACAGTTTAACAGGTCATGCAGTGAGATATACTCACTAAGACAGTAAGATGTTCCTGATCTAAAGAACATAAGGCAGGAGACACAAGCCAATTCTTTTACTGTATAATAGCATATAATGCTATATTATGTCTTTAAAAAAATCAATTTAAGCTATGCTCCAGCCAACTGTTTCTGCTTAAGGGGAAAAAAAAAGAAAAAAAAAATAACATGAGGACTGCACATATTTATATCAAAGTTAAATACTGTGGAAAGAGAATGTAAAATGAGATTTTTCCTTGCAGGACAGGATAAGTAGCAATTAAGTGAAGTGTGCAAAGAAAGTGCATTGTTTAAAGACCTGTGCTTTTCTTCATGTATTGCATTTCATATTTGGAAGGACATGAGAAATCCCATGGTTCTGATGCTTATTAAAAAAATGAACTCAGGAATATAATATGGCATATAAACCTGTGTTTCCTTCCTTGGAAGAGCCAAGATAGCTCCTGGAATTATTGTCTGCTTACCTTTTAAAGAGAGTCCTGACTTAAACCTGTCATAAACTGCTTCTGCCAGGGCCTGCGGTTCCTTTTCTCTCCCAAGGGAGAACTGGGTGTGAGATGGAGAGTTTTATTTAGGTACGGTACACAGCTGTTTTGAAATATAAATATTGCTTCACTTACAAGCTTGGAAAAGCATCTTAAAAATGAAATATTTTACCTGGAGGACATAACAGAGTGAGGTTTGGGTCAGATCTCCCTTCTTGTGGGCATCCTTCTAGGAGATGCCTCAATGTTTTTCAACATCCTTACTGAAAAACTATGAGCATTGAATCTTTGCCATAACCTCCGCATTGCTAGGACAGTGTGGAGACCTCGAACTCCATACTTTGCCACAGAGAGGCTGATGTACAACACACAGTACAAGCTTTAAATAGTTTTTGCAAGTGAGAGAGGAAGCATTTTGAAGCAGACTGCTCTCTCCTTGGGCTAGTTGCACTCAGGCTAGTGCTGTGACTCCATTGTTGGTGACAAAGGAGATGCATACCCACCATCCAGGCAAAGGAACCTCTGACAGACAAAGTCACAGGCAACTTGCTTGCAAGAAAGGTTAGCATGACATTTCTCAGACTTATTATTTCCTTTTATGGATTCTGTATTTTATTATATCTATTATATATAAAAAATAAAAAAAATTTAAGCACTTGCTTTTTACAAAAGGAAAACCCCATAAAAACAGACTGACTTGCAGAATAGAGATGTAAGATTGTTGCTTGACTGTTTTTGTTTTTTCTGGGCATCTCTTCATCTCTTCAAGATATTCCAAAAAAAATCTTTCTTATTTTATTTCCCCAAGAAAAGTTCTGTGTATCTGTTTCCCAACTTAACATGATAGTTGTCTATAAGAAAAACTGGCCTAATTATTTAAGCTCAGTCATTGTATATGAAATGAAAGCTTTTATTGTATCACATTACTTATACGGTGAGGTAGGAGTGAGAGTGTGTAAAAGAAGTCCAGTACCTACATTTGTTCATTCATTGCATCACCGTATTTAATTGCCTATTCACATGAAACAATAACGCTTTTGTATAAATCTGGTGTTTAAAATCTAGTCTACCATGTAATTCTTATTGTACAGTCTACATTATTTTCATTTCCTTAATGCTTGCTTGACACTTTGCAGAGATATGCAAGTATCTTACCGTTTGAATTAACATCTGTTTGGGAGAGGCTTTGCCAGGGAAAAAGGGATAATAATGTAGTGTGAAAGGAAATGTGTATGGGTGTCACATGCCGAGCTCTGGTAGAAGTGACATGTTTAATGCCAGTCAGCTTTATTTGTTATTAGTGTGCCAAGGGGTCTCTTTTGTGCACACTAAATCTTAACAATGTCAACGTATTTATCTAAGTGTGTTTGCATGCCAGTGAATTGCACAGCAGTGTGTACTGGTCCTAAAGCTGGCTACGATTCTGTATTTGTGCCTAGCTGATCTAACTCCCTTCAGGATTATAACTGTAGAAAAATATAGCTATTAATATTCATACCTGGCAGAGGGCACAACTTTTTTTTTTTTTTTTAATCCATTGGGTTACTAGTAGGCATCTAAACAAGTGGTATGACTCTCAGTGCCACTAGGCACTGCCACTCTGGCAGCTTCTTGTCTCTAGACATTACTTTGAAAGATTCTCCTTAGTTCATTGGAATAAAGTTTGCCTGAAAACAAAACTTTTGATAATAATTGACATAGGTGTTTCCTATCAAATTACACTGTAAAATCAGAGAAGTTAAGAACCATGGCCAAATAATTAGAAGTGTCTAATGTTCCTCATGTTAAGTGTAACTAAAAAGGAGTGTTGATTAAACTTCTTCTCCTGCTGTCACTGTATCTTTCACTGTAAAACATTTGCCTCAGACTATCCACAGGCTTGTCCTGCCTGGCTTTCTCTTACAAGTTTTGAAGTAAAAAGTAATGGTGCCTCAAAGAGGGCTGCAGAGTACACACAGTTGACCTTGCAGACACTGACCTTGGGGACACATCTCCTCCAGCTTATAAAAGCTATTTCCAGATTAAATGACCCAAGCTGCCCTTGTCTGCAGACTTTCACTGCAGACTTTCAGCCTGAAAGAATCATTAAATATGTGGCAACAAGTCTAGATATATTGGGTGTTCAGTGCATATGCTGATACCTTTCTGCAATATTTAAGTTATAATACATACCCCAGCATTACTACTACTACTACTACTAATACTAATAATAATAATAATAATAATGTACCACAAATTTAACCCAAAATAATTATTTGTTTGTTTATTTATTTATTTATTTATTTATTTTTTCTCCAAAGAGCAACCTCTTGTCTCTGCAGGTTGTCTGTACAGCTTCACTGTAGATCCTTCCTGATATCTTTGCTCCAAAAAACCTTCTGGGTCAAAAACTGAGTGAGCATAAATCAGCATAGGTGTCTGGGGATGAGCTGAGAGAAAGGCTAGTGAGGTGCCAGCACCATTGGTGAGGCCACCCTAATGGAGGCACAGATATTCACCTGTGGTATGATCCCAGTCCACAGGCAGATATGCCATGGAACTGCTTTTCCTTTCTATATTTTTCCCTCATCCATTTGCTTTTATTGTAGCATCTTAGTGTGCATGTACTTACATAGATATATTTGTACTTTAAGCACATGACTAACTTAAGATAAATATATATATAAATAAAATAAAATTTTGAGTATTTACCAAGGAAAAAAAGTGTCTAAAAGAGTGTGCATGTGTGTTAGTGAGAGTTTTATGCTCACACATCCAGAACCTGCGTGCCCAAAACAGTAAATTATGTTTATGCACACTTTCATGTGTCTCAATTTGTCAAACATCCATAGAAACTAAAAGTTAGTAAAAGTTAGTAAATATGCAACATAAGAGTCTATATAGATATTAAAGGTTTAAAGGCTTCTGCTAAGCTGAAAAACAAACAAACAAACAAACAACAACAAAAAAAAAAAAAACAGGAAGTTGTACTTTTCTGTACTGCTGTGAATGCTGAGTGCAAGAGAGCATGAGAGTTTGCTTTCAGTGAGCAGCACGGTCAAGGAGCAAACCTTGCTGGGGCAGGGACTGATGGCCCTGGGTTAGATTGAAATGGGGTCCTGGGCCCATGGGAAGGGACAGGGTTAGTTAGGCTTGTTAGTCCCTTCAGGCTCCTGGTATATACTGGCTTTGAGCAAAATTCAGTAGAACCAAAACACTACCCAAGCAGACCGAAATAAGAAAGACTGTTAACAACACTTTGGATAATACTAGTAAATACTTAGATTTTAAATTGCTCTTCAAAAGGTTTGAGGGCACGGGGGTCTTTTAAGTTACTACCTTAAATGTCTTGCACACATGCATGCACAAAATAAGACAATTTATATTTTATTTTGGTGGATGTCCTGCTGTCGGGGACACCTACCACTCATAAATTCTGAATTTTGTGATCAGCTTGAGCTCTGGTTAGGAATGAAACCTCTCAGTGTGACAGCAAAAAGGTTTTGTGAGCATACCAGTCAGATCCTGTAAATGAGCATGCTGGTACCAGAGACTATAAAAATGTTCTCATTACCCAAGCATCTGACTTTTGTGGTTTAAATGCATATCACAGTGAAGGGAAGCATATCAGCTGGTTCCACTGGTTGTGACAAAATGGGTGAATTTTAGTAAAATGAGAAGGCTTATATTCCAAGGCTGAGAGAAGGTCATTAAGCAGACCTGTAGTTACTAGTACGTTGCTGTGGCCTCTCAGAAATGGAAACAGCATTTTGCTAAAACCCTGATCTTCCAAAATAATCTGTATCCTGTATGACTGTATGCAGCTTTGCAACTTTGATCTTCTTGTTCCAAACTGGCTAAAAGGCAGATTTTTCCTGTATTGCTTTGAAAAGCCTAGAAGTTTTAAAGCATTTAATGTACTACATTTTTCATTCTTAAAATGCTAACAATTTGGCTGTCATGACATTGGAATGGACATGTTTCTCGGGAACTCCATAGGAAGAACAGCCTTTCTTCTGCCTCCTTGTACTGAATGAAGACCAACAGTCAAGATCAGCACAGAGATGAACCATTCGTACACCTGAGAGACTTCTCAGCCTGTGGCCACAAAACTACTGGTGTTTCATACAGCAACAGGAAGAAGACTGTAAAATGATTGCACATCCCCATATGATGCACATTTATATGCATTTTCTCACACCTACTAAAAAAGTGCAGGATTAACACGGAAAAAAAATAGTAAACTAAAATTTTCAATTCTGTCTCCTTTTTGTAAGGTGAAAGAAAAAAATTATTCAGAATTCAAAAAAAAAAAAAGTTTCTTTTTTTGTTTGTTTGTTTTTGGCTTTGGCTGGATGATTCTATGACAAAAAAAAAAAAAAAGGTCAAAAGACAGCATTTTGAATCTGACAAGTTTTGAATCTGACAAGTTTCTAAGGATATTCTTATAGCTTATTTCCAGATACAGATTTTTTCAGCAAGTTAGGATAAAGTGACAATAAGTCAGAAATCTCATTGTCAGATTTTTTTTTTAATTAAAAATAAATATTTAAAATAAATCATTTTATTTTTTACTGTTAATTACAATTGTAAATTACAATTTGAAGTTTCAGGAACTTCAAATACTTTTTGACATTCAGATTCTTCTCTGGGAGTTTGCATAATACTAAGTAAAAACTTAACCAAAAATGTTCTGCAAATCTTCCCTTCTGTCTTGTGGAATGCTTTTAAAGAGAAGAAGGCACTTACTTCCTTGTTCCTGTATTCTCTGATTTCTTATTTTTCTCTATAGGTTTTAATTTAAAGCATGTGCTAGTATTTTTGTTGGCTCACTCTGCTAGACCCAACTGTAACATCCTTTTCCAAAATGCCCACACAATAAATGCTACTCAACCATAATAAATTGAATTTAAGTAATGTAAACTTGACACTAACATCAGATTTAAGGGTTTGGCTTAAATTTATAAACACAAGGAAATTCGTGGCCCTGTAAATTAAAGTTGAAAAAGGTTCATTCATTCTTTCATTCAGAAAGATTACAATGGAATCAGTCTATTTATTTAGTCCACCAGTCTCTAGCTC